TGTTGTTGTTGTGTGCCTTCAAGTCATTTCCGACTTATGGTGACCTATCATGGGGGTTTCTTGGAAAGATTTGCTCAGAAGAGGTTTGCCATTGCCTTTCTCTGAAGCTGAGAGCATGTGACTTGCCCAAGCTCACCCAATGGGTTTCATGGCTAAACTGGGAACCGAACACTGGCCTCCAGAGTTGTAGTCCAACACTCAAACCATTGTGCCATGCTGGCTCTCCATTAAGCTATGCCTTCCCTTTAAATTACAGAGACGTTAACTCTTATGTTTTGGAGAAATCCACAAGGTCACAATCCTTAGTACAACAGGAGAAAAATCTTTAATTTCTGTGGATGGACCTCTTTGGAGAATACTGCACAGAGAGAGAGAAAGGAAGAGAGAGATTTTTATTATACGTTGAACAGGCAATGGAGTGTACAATGCTAATGAAGTATGTCCAACAGGCCTCTTTAACTATTCAACAAATGAAGGATATTAAACAACATTTTGCTTAAAGGTACACTGAGGCCATTCCCATTAGGACACGGTGCCGTTCATTTATTCACATGTTAAGTGAATGTCCTTGTGGCTAATGACTAATAATCAACACTGACTCTACTTCATTCCTTCGCTCCCAGCAATGTTAAATACTCTGATAGGACCTTCATTTGCTGCTGCGCATGCACACATATATGCTGGAGAGTAGAGTTTCCATGGGAGGAAAACGCTAAAGGACATTTATAGCAGCCAGGGAAGGAGGGAGGGAGAGGCAGCCATACACCTGAGCACCTTAAGAGGAAATGTCCTTTATTACCGCTTGCCCTCTCAATTGCTCCTGACACTAAGAAATAAATCTACACTGTTTGCCTTCTGCCTATTAACCATCAATGAGCCTGAGCCTCAGTTAAGTCAGCTTGGTTATTGCTCTTAATAGAGTCCAGTAGTGACACAGATGCACAAGAATGTGTCTTGGCAATGTACCAGAGCTTGGGAGCATTATTTTTTTCCCCTGGTGTTATGATTTCCCAGAATCTTTCCAGACTGGAAGCATGCTGACTGAGGATTCTGGGTGCTGCAATCCAACAGAATACATTTTCCAAGGTCTACAGTGTGTGGATGCACTGAGAGAGAGAGAGAGAGAAAGAGAGAGAGATGGCTGGATGGTAGGTGGTGAATCTATTCTTGTGGATGGATTTGGGCACCTTGGTTTGATCACTGAAAGTTTGGAGAGAAACCAGGAGCAGATTCATCACTTATCTGACACATCTCCAAAAATGTGGTGATTATAAATAACAGAGAAGAAAACCATTGGAAATGTTACTTTTAGATTTTTGAACAGTTGGCTAGGGGATTTTGTTGTCCCAAAGCATCAGTGTTACCAAACTCTGTCCCCACTCACAAAACCAGCATCCTTGGGTAGAGTAAGATTAGTTTAGCATCATTTCAGTCAGCTCCAGTCTTATGTGTTGCCTACAGAGCTTGGGGAAGTTCCTTTTTTTCTTTTCTTTTTCTCTTTCTTTTTCTCTTTCTTTCTTTCTTTTTGTATTACTAGTCCCATCATGGCCAGAGGGATTCTGGGAGTTGTAGTCTTTAATGTTCCTTAGTAATTGTTCCAAGACTATGATTGACTTTCATTAAGCCGGATATAAATAATTATTATTATTATTATTATTATTATTATTATTATTATTATTATTATTATTATGAAGTTTTCTGCTAGTATTATAGTGTCATCTGCATATCTTAGACTGTCGATATTCATTTCTCCTATCTTCACTCCTTCTTCCATGCCCAAACCTGCTCTTTGTATGATATTTTCTGGGTAAACATTGAACACTGAGAATATATGAAAATAAATCCCGTTACAAAAATTCTGGCCCTTTCAATGTCCCTTCCTTAACATTAATGTACAAAGAAACAGAAAGAATGAATGTCTCCTTCGTATACCAGCAACTCTGAGATTCTGAGTGGCAGTGCTAAATAATGGACCAAGATGTGAAAGGGCCATTTTGTTGACTTGTTATTGAAGTGTGAGGTAAAAAGAGCAAAGTACTTATCCAGCTAAATTGGTAAAGCTAAATTCTACCAGCACAGCAAAACTCTGACAGCCAGCTGAGCCAACTGGCTAACCAAATATATATCTCCAGCAGAATTGGAAAACCTTTTTGGACTATGAATTCCTGAATCAGCATCGATGGGATGATGCCTGGCAGTCGTAGTCCAAAAAAGGAACTTTTTGAGACTCTGAATGCACCCCCAGAGGTGATGCTAAGAAAGGAATAAAAATAGGACAGGTATAAAAACCACCCAAGTTGAATTCTCTCTCTCTCTCTCTCTCTCTCTCTCTCTTTTTTTTTTTTTTTTTTTTTTTTTTAGTGGAATATATTTGGATCTTTGCTCCATCTGAAAAAAAGAAGCACACACTCTCTCTCTCTTTAACCATTTGACTTAGGGCTGGATTATCAATGGTTCAGCTGGTGCAATTGTTCCAAGGCTGCACCTATACTGGGTATTGTAACTTATTGCAGCACCTGAGCTCTTTGATGGAGAAGGCTAAATACCTCACAAAACTACAATTCCCAGATTTCCATGACATGAAGCCACAGCAGTTAAAGTAGTGTCAAGCTGCATTGCTTCTGCAGTGCAGACAGCCCCCAGGTCTCTCACTGGCTAAGGGCCAAGTGATGAAAAGGAGGAAAATAAAGTATAACTTTCTTTCTCTTCTCCTGCAGTCACATCCTGAAATTTCCAAAGTTTCAGTTATTATCAGCATTCTGTGAATAAGAGCTATTCCAGACTACCCTTAGGTTCTGGTGGGAGCTGAACCAGTAATTACTGGGATTTTTTAAAAAAAAAATCCATATATTTGTCATGAGTTTCCAGGACTAGTTGCAATTTTTAAATTGCAGGGCAGTTTTCTTTTCTATCCCAGGAGTTTTTTATACAAGCAGAGGTAAATGCTCACATCTGTCTTCATTGTCTTGGTTCCTCCTGCATAATCTCTGAGGTTGCTTTGACACATCTCCCAGTTTTCATCAGAGGGGGCTTGAGGAAGAACAGAAAGGCTAGGAGAAGCTTCAGCAGTTTGCTTTTGCTTGAGCTTACTGAGAATGGCAAAATTTTGTCCCCTCTTCTCCCTGCTGAGTTAACTGAATGCAAACTACTTTTGTACTTTGAACTCAGTTTGCAACGACTTATGTAAGCTAAGGACGAAAGGGGAACTGAGAGGAGGAGAGAGAAACTGGAAAATTATTTAAAAATAGCTGAAACAGTGTGATGACAGAGGATGAATTGGGACTGTCCCTGTCAAATTGGGGCAATTGGAGGGTATGATCCTGTACTTGTCTGGGATCCCCCTATTGTTGAATGAGGTGTGACCTTTTCTACAGAGGTTTTCCTCTGATCTTCCTCTTCTTCTCAAATTTAGTTATCCAATCAAATTTTCTTTTTCCCCCCCTTTCTTTTTACAGTGATATAGCTCTTCAGCACTATGACTATAACATGTTTAAATAAATAAATAAATAAATAAATAAATAAATAAATAAATGTGTACGGATAGATACTGGGAGAGAAGGATGAGCGAGGCAAGGATGAGGAGGAGTTGGAGCAAATCTTTCCCCACATAACCACATTTCAAGAGGAGGAAAAAGAGTAGATGAAAGCCTGATATATTTATAACTGGATGTGGGAATCAGAACAACTATGGTGGTGGTGGTGTGTGTGTCCAAGTCATCTCCAACTCACAGTGACTCAAAGGTGAGCCCATCATGGGGTTTTCCTGGCAAGATTTGTCCAGAGGGGGCTTGCCATTACTTTTCTCTGGGGTTGAGAGAGTATGACTTGCCCAAGGAAACCCATTGGGTTTCCGTGGCTGAGCAAGGACTTGAATCCTGGTCTCCTAGCCCAACAGTCAAACCACTACACCACATAGCAAGCAGTGACTACCATCACACCTTTGGGTAGAAAATACCTCAAATTAATGAAATGCTACAGAACAAACCTATTGTTACTTAGTTTCACTAGGTGAATCTGAATATTGGACAAGGGAAGATGAAATATCTATCTGTGCAACCCTGCCTTTTGAGATTACACTCCTGTTGTGGTATTTTGCACCCACATATCATGTGTCTTTCCTTGTCTTCTCCTGCAGCATTTGGAGGTTGCTTGGATTATTTATGCAGGCAGTCATAGATTAAGTGTGGCAATTATTGGGCTGTTTGGGAATGGTTACCCTCATTATCCACAAATGCTGCCCAGTGAGTAGTAGTGGAGCACTCATATGGAAAGGAAGTTATTTCTTCTCTAATGGCATCCTTCCCTGTTAAAACACACACACCCCAAACCCTTCACTTTGGCTGTTTTGCTTGGGAATAACATTTAATTTCAAGATGTAAATGCATTGGAAACTAGAGTTGAATATGTTCTGGGGGGGGGGGGAGAGAAATAATTGTATTCCCGTTTTAGCAAGCTGGCCTACTGACATGCATTTCCACCGGTGCTAAAAATAATGAGGAATTCAAGTGACACCCATTGATGGCTCAGAGTGCCATCACTTTCCTTGACCTAATTGATTGTAGCTATGCACCTCTGTGTGCTTTGCATAACCAGTTTAGACAGCAGGAATATTTCCCACCCGATTGATTGACATATTTTATTTCTAACTTTAAGCTTAATCATGGCCCAGAAATGATTCATTTACACCTTCCAGACGTTGGGAACTTGACACAAAAGACAACTGGGAGCTACGGGCTCCTTGACTAAGCAAGGAAACGCTTGTCAGAGCAAAACTAGATATAGATATATTATATATAATATTAACTTAGTTTATGAACCTGCTGAAAAGGCTGAGGATGATGCAATAAAAGAGATTCATTAAGTGGCAGTGGAACTTACTTTCGGTTCTAAAGGAGATGTCAGCCGAGAGGTTTTGAAAAATTATTTTATAGTGGAAAAATAAAGGCATGGATCTTTAAACATTTTTGACTTGGTCTGACCATGAGGGCTCTGTCTTGTGACTCCGTCCATGTCACATTGCTACAGTTTATGCAAAATATACAAGGCAGTGGCAGTGGTACCAGGCAGCACAGTAGGACACAGGTGTAGACCAACACCCAGCATCACTCCGGAGTGCAGAAGTAACAGGGAATTCAGGGCAGCTCCAGGGCCAGAATACTCCAGGAGCAGCCCAGAGTATTCTGGTCAGGGTAGATGATCACCAAAACCTAAACAAGAAATG